CGGGATTAATGTCACAAACAACTGTTTCGGTGCATTATCGGTTATACAATTTTGTAATTGTTTGACCTCATGTCGGAAATTTCCATAACCTTCCTAGGTGACAAACTTAGGATCTTCCATTTTCGTTATCCCTCACTATGTACAAACAGTTTGGCACCTTCGTTTCGCGAACACTGACACAAAGAGCAGTTTCCTTATGAATTGAAATGTACCAATAAAAGTCCTCATCTTCTCGTATTTCTTCTGGAGGTATATTCATATTCAGGACTTTGAACTTCAATTCAATTTATGTGGACAGATCAGGAATATGAAGCTTCTTCATCAATCTTACCACAAGTCCTGCTACGGTGATATCACTTGAAACTAAGATTGAAGTGATTTTATTTCCTCTCCACTTCCACTCATTATCTACATGCACGAAATCTCCCCCGTGCAACATAATGAATCTCATATTAGTGACATACCTAAATATTTGAGAAAGCAATGATAAGCATATGACATAATCATAAGATTGAAGTTTATTAGCATTTGCACGTACAGAAAAAGTGTACGAAAATTAAAAATAAAATTGTCAATTACGAAGGATGAAATACCGAGCTCGACATTTCATTTGTTGGCATCAGTTTCATCTTGTCATTTGTATTGTCGATTTCAACAGTATGTCTTAGCATTTCAGTGGTGATGGAATACATTCTTTCTAACATTAATTGTGTTCATCAATGCTCAACTACTAAATGAGAAAAAACTCACAAATTATTGAATCAATATTTTGTTAAATAGGGAATGTTCTATCACATTAAATAGGGAACGTTACCCTCATTGAAAAACACATGTAAATTCAAACCTAATGTATGAATGAATAAGAAGTTAGGAAATTGAAAATCATGATGTTGGTATTTGTCTTTAATAATTGAGAAATACTAACTTAGATGATATAAAAATGAAACATTTTGTAAATGCTAACCTTTGGATGCTAATAAATTTCGATCTTATGATTGTGTCATACGCTTAACAATGTCACAAGACCATAAACCACACTCAACCAGTTGCCATTTGGTTGCCCACTAAGGACACACATGATGGTTATTGCATCCACACAATAGCCACAAAGGCTGAAAGAATAGAGAGACGAAAACGCTGCAAATGAAGCACAAATTGGAGGTGCAACAAGTAACTCTCAAGAAGAAGTAGCAATAACGTTTTTCACACACAACCAACACAAAAGCAACGGGGTCAACATATATAAAAGAATAGGTGGGCTTTTCGGTTAAGTAGTGATTAGGCCCAATAACATAATAGGTAATTAATAAGTGGGCTACATACCAAAAGTCATCCAATGAATTATGAGTCGGGCCATGAGTAGCTCTAATTAAATTAGGCTACTTCAAATTGCCCAAATAGGTTGTAAGTTTAGGTCGTTACATTTGTGGTGTCGATATTTCGTTTCAGTCATTGGTCGATGTCGGCTGAATAAAACAATGCCTTAACATCATCGTCTGGGAGGTCATTTGACAACAATTTGTCCAACATCACCCATTCTACTCCACCATCATCAACATCACCCAAATCGTCGCCATCACCACATCAAATCCACAACACACCACCACCTCCACCCCAATTCACAACCATCATATTTTTCATTGTTAATGGAGTTCGAAACGAATGAGACCTCCTCCACCACCATTGATTTGATCTATTGTTGCTGTGACATCGTCAAGGAGGCAAGTGAGATCCAGTTCAATGGCACGTTTCAGATTTTATTTTTGTGAGGATCGGAGTCTGCGATGGTCTTTGACATTGGTCGAGGTGGGGTTGAGAGAGAGAGAGAGAGAGAGAGATTTTATATGTATATATTTGTGTTTGTATATTTATATGTGGAGAGAGTGAGAGCTCTTTGTATATTGGGGGGGGGGGGGGGGGGGAGAGAGAGAGAGAGAGAGAGAGAGAGTTTTTAAAAGTAGATAGATAAGAGAAGATGTTTTCAAAGTATGGGAGTAGCGTGATATACAGGTTAGATATAAAAATAGTTGGGGGCGGGTGTGTAAGTAGTAGGGTATATATGTTTTTATATTTAAAAAAATTTATAACCTGATTTTTGATAAACCACTTTGTTGAAATTGAAACCTAAACGGTAGGGATTGAAGTAATTTTCCCATAAATAATTATGACTCGACCTTTCCCTCGTTTACTAGTTTTCATCTTTCTATTTTATAGTTTTCCCTACATTTTTCTTTATAAACTGAAAATGCACATATAAAATTGTGAAATTATAAATCAAAATATTAAAAATATAATATAGGTATATCAGTTTCGTTCTCTACCAGTCAAATCCACTCTATACCTTAAAAACATAATTCCCACTGTCATATAAAAAGATTGATTTCTCCTCAAATAGAACATCAGAGAACAGCTAATGAGGCGCTTCATTTGATTCTGTAAATAAGAAATACAGACTTGTAATGAGTTACTTCTAATATGAAACCTAACAATTTCATCATCAATTGAATCAACGCAGGAAGAAATCCGCCATGGTTCGATGGAGCTAAAGGGTAAATAGTATTATTATATTTTAGCTTTTGGGACAATATATAATATAAGGTGCGACCACCACATTAATTTGAAAGGGAGAGCAAAACAGGGCTAGCTACTGCATTTAATTTAATACATACAATAATTGGTAGTCACCTAAGGACGAATGCTAGCTGTGCGCATTTACCCCAAATTATGTTTCATTGTTTGCATCGCAATCTATCTTCTAGCTGGAAAAATGATAAAGTGCATAAGGAGTTAGAATTTAAGATGAAGTGGGATCGCAAGGCAAAATAATGATTTCATGATAACTTTGGGTTTGTCCGTTTTTTGGCGAATTGATAGTCTAATTCGATTGGAAACAGACCAATGATCACAACACATTGCCTTTGGCCATGATGTACGCTGGATTTTGGGCAAATTCCGTCGTTTAGGCCCTCGATTAAGCGTTTTTGTCGTTTATGGTAAATTTTATTTTGGTAATATCTCATTCAATAAAATTCGGATTTGGATTCCGTTTGTTGGAGGACGATCCTAAATCTTAAGAGTTTCAATTTAAGTCAAAATCTCGAATTTTTTCATTTATGAAAAAATATCGTTTATTTTTATTTTTATTATTTATTTTCCGAATTTTGTTAGGGTTTTACTATTTAAAGAATTGTAAGCCCTTTGAATAAGAATTTTTGTGAGTTTTATCTCATCTTTATGAGGTTGTTGATTTTTTCTATAATCTTTCGCTGCGTCAAAAAAGAGTCTTGCATTCTTGAAAAAACTTGTCTCGTGAACTAATAAAATGACACTATGGCAGTAGAGGAATCAAATCGGATTGACGAGCTGAGTTCGGTAAGTCGGGCTGGTTCAATCCCTTGAGTCCATACTCCTGGAAAAAAAAATTATTTTTTGAAAAATGGTTTAGTATAATGGATTGACTTGATTTTAAAATATTGGTTTAATAAATCAAGGAAAATTTCATTTCTAAAAATAAAAATAATCTCCTCTCTACGTGGTTTACTACCAAAAAGTCACTCTCGAAATAGACATGAAATAAAATTTAAGCGTCAAATGTGTTACCAGTTAGTTTGCAATCAGCTTTTACCTACAGAATAAGAGGACTAGTAATTAATGTCACCTTCATGGATCGGGGTCGTCAATGAGTGACGCTGTATAAGAGAACTAGTGATTGATGCTATCTTTGTGGGTGGTCAATAAACAACACTTCTACGTGGCATTAATACCACCTTTGTCACGCCTCACAATCAAAATGAAATGTCCGAAACACTTGTCTAGATTTTTCCTATTTGTGCGTTTTATAATTCCTTTGTATTAAGCTTTCAACGCTCTCTACATACATACATACATACATACATACATATTGAATGCTTAAGATTTTTAACATGGCCAAAATTTGTACACGCTGGTGGTATAATATAATAAATTTAAAGCAATGTGGTCATCACATGAGTAATAATAGAAAATTTGTATTGTAAAAGTATGATATATAAATTCATAGTATAAGATACATATGGAGATGCTATACCTACCTTCTGCAATGACGAAATACATACGGTTGGTTGAAGATTATCTAAAAGAAAATAAAGAGATGAAATATTAATTTATCAGTACAGGATTTAACTACAGACTTTAGTGATGGATTCTGTCATCACAGATTTTTTATCATAAGGAAATTCAAAAGTAATTTTAATCAGTCAAAAACTTAATAGATATTTTAATGTGTTACAAATTAGCAATATTTCTTGTCACAAAAATCCCTACGCCGATTTCTTAACCCTCTCTCTCTCTCTCTAATCTTCTGGTTTTTTTCTCTCATTTGGTCGCTATTAACGTTAATAATATGTTACTCTTGACGGTTTTCCTAGTAGTGCATGATTGCTGAAGCCATAGCACAAGGCTTTAGTTAGCTAGCAGCGACTCAGTGCGATTTTCATAACACTGCAAGTCAAACATAAAAAAGGTTCGGAGTAGTTATGGCCAATGAATGACTTGATCAAAACTATAGAAAAAGACATTTCTTGAGTACTGGTTCAAAGGCAAAAAATAATTTTTGAAAACAAGAAAAGCTAATAAGGGAAAATGTTGAAAATATTTTAGTTCAATGCTGGCGGCAATTCACGCTATTAGGAAGCCAATGAAGAGATTTGAATGTTATGTGTATTTTTCTTATTTTCTGACAGTAATTAAATTATAAGTCACATTATGTTTTTTTGGATAAGGTTAAGTCACATTATGTTGTGAAGGTTGTTTGTTGCTTTTTTTGTCCTAGTTTTCACCCATTCATCTGATGCTGCTGGCACCGGCCATTTATTATGGTTTCAACTTTCAACAAACTATTCTTATTACCCCCAAAATCCTGTATAAAACCACCTTAACTTTCTCATTTTCACTATATCAATCTTCTACAAAGAGATATATAGATAAATTGTATCTATAGAAAGTGTGAGTCTCTTGTAACAATGTCTAGCTCATTTAGTTTTGCAAGTTTTGCTATTTCCCTAATAGGGTTGATGGCAATGGTGGTGCCACCAGTCGAGGGTGCACGTGCTTTCTTTGTTTTTGGAGACTCACTGGTGGATAATGGCAATAACAACTACTTGGCAACCACTGCACGGGCAGATTCTCCTCCTTATGGCATTGATTATCCGACTCACCGTCCCACCGGCCGGTTTTCAAATGGTTACAACATTCCTGATCTCATCAGTAAGCTTCCTAGTTTTTGTTATCATTCATATTACATTACATTTCTTTAGATAAAGTTAGTTTGCCACAATTTATTTTTACATGACAATGTATCTGAATTTATAGGTCAAAAGCTTGGTGCTGAATCTACATTGCCATACTTGAGCCCAGAGTTAACTGGGGAAAAACTACTGGTTGGAGCAAACTTTGCCTCGGCTGGAATTGGCATTCTCAATGACACTGGAATTCAGTTCGTAAGTCTTTCCATTCAACTTTCATGTAAAAGCTTTTAAATGGGATGATTCAAAATTGTGATACACGTGTAGGGTTTCAAATCTCGCCATCGTCTATTTATTAAATTTGTTCAAGTATTCAATCTTTTGTTGATGAATCAACGTGGTACGTGGACAAATAAATTAGTTGATAAGCATGATGCACTAAGGCACATGGAAAAAGTAGAAATAAGAGTGTGTTTGATTTGTTTTATTTTGCATAAAAAATATCAAATTTTCACATAAATTCCTACTTTTGGAGTGTTTGATTGGCATGTTTCCATGAAAAATATTTTTCAAAAGTTTAGTCACGTGACCATATTTTTTCTCAAAAATAATATAAACATTTTTTTTATGGAGGGTACGTTTTTATTTTCGAGTCAATTTAAACTTCCCAAAAACTCAACTTTACGGAACATTAAAACATTTTCTATGTTAAAAATTAAGTCAACCAAACACGTTTAACTGACAGTTTTCATGCAAATAATTTATAGGATTATTTTCTTTCCATACAAGTTTCATACTTGTAAGCAAACATACCTTAAGTGAATTATGATCCCTGGATGTTTGCGTATGCACGTTATCTTCCAAAACTCTGTATTTCCTCCATTGACAATGATGGTTTGCTAACCCTTTTCCAGCTGGATGGACATTTGTTTTGTAACTTATTCCAATTTCAGAAATTCTTGTAGCTGAACAGACACACACTTCAAAAATCAGTAGACGTTATTAATGAAGTGGATTTGTTCTTTCTTGATTAATTTTTGTCAGGCAAACATAATAAGAATATCTCAGCAACTGGAATTCTTCGGAGAGTACCAGCAACGAGTGAGCGCGCTCATTGGAGAAGAACAGGCACAGAAACTTGTAAACAAGGCACTTGTTCTAATAACACTTGGTGGGAATGATTTCGTGAACAATTATTTCTTATTGCCTATTACTGCTAGAAGACTTCAGTATAATCTCGAAGATTTCTCCCGTTATCTAATTGTCGAATACAGGAAAATTTTGATGGTAACTTCTTATTCTTTTTCAATTTATTGTAAACTTTTTATATATATGAAATAAATGTTTTTTTCCTTGCAAGCACTAAGTGAGGAAATTAATCAAATCTATTTTGTAACACATGCCCTGTCAGGACCATAAAAAATGATAAACCATTAATTGAATTCACATTCGTAATAAAGAGACTTGGGCCACTGTGTGTGCTTCTTTCACCCATATATATAGGCTTTCATAAATGAATGTACCGAAATTTAAAAAAAAAAAAAAATTGTGTAACAAATCAAGTTTGTCATCATTGTACCTAATTCATTTCTATATTATATTTTTCTTAGTCGAACAAAATAAATTAGAAAATTCAAAAGTTTTTAATGGGGGCAATAGGTCGATATGGCATGTTAATTTGATATGTCATATATGATATTACTTTTTTACATTTCAGAGGCTATATGAATTGGGAGCCAGAAGGGTTCTTGTAACCGGCAGTGGACCATTAGGTTGCGTGCCTTCTCAGTTGGCGACGAGGAGCACAAATGGCCAATGCGCAGAGGAGCCTCAACGCGCATCAGCAATATTCAACCCCCTTCTTGTCGAAATGATTAAAGGACTAGATCAAGAGCTTGGATCAGACATATTTGTTGCTGCCAACGCGGTACAGATGCAGAATAACTTCATCAGCAATCCCCAAGGCTTCGGTTTGTTACCCTAAAAACCTTTCATTTTTGCTCTTTCATGGTTGAGCCAACATAATAAATTGATTAAGTTTATTTTTTACTGAGCAGGTTTTGTCACAGCAAAGATGGCATGTTGTGGACAAGGACCGAATAATGGGGTAGGAGTTTGCACCCCTGAATCAAATTTATGCCCGAATAGAGAAGTATACGCGTTTTGGGATCCATTCCATCCAACAGAAAGGGCAAACAAGATTATTGTTTCAACGCTCTTCACTGGTTCAGAAGAGTACATGACCCCAATGAACTTGAGCACCATCATGGCACTGGATTCCATGACATAATCTCTGAGTCCAATTCCTAGACTACCTAAATCCAGCGGATCAGTATCAGGGGGAAGGTAGAATAATTGACTAGGACCAAGTGTAAAAGTTTGAGAACTCAGCTTATTGATTTTCTATGTTTCGTAATAGTGAAATACAATAATATGCCAGCATGGTTTGAATATTATCGTATGAAAAGTATTGTGGGGGCGTCCAACTCTCACCGAAATTTCAGTTGAATCTTACACTTCAGTTTTTCAAATTTAATTGCTAAATCTTTCCTATCATTTTAGCAAGTTCATTAATGAAAATCTTGATATGAAAGTCTCTTTGGCTACTGACAGGAAATACGATCAATAAATGTGACAAGTATATCTGATTGGCGTTAAATCAAGTGAAAATTTAACATAAGCATATCTAATTGGCATCAAGTAGAAGCCTTCTCCACCCTATGCAAATCCGACAGTTGTTCGCTCGGGTTGGCTTGTATCCATCAAGGATCCATTGTTCTTCTCCTGTTCAAAATATAAAGAAATAAAATAAAATTGGGCATGGTTTTATTCTAATATTTTACATATAAATATACATATATAATTTATATCCAAGGGCTGACGCAGACCTTAAAAGTTAGGGGGGCATAATTGAACTTGAAAAGAAGTCGGGAGAAATTTTACAATCGAAAATTTACGTCCAAAAAAATCATACTCCATGTAATTTTACATCCGAAAATTTACAGGGATATGACTTTTTCGGATGTAAAATTTCTAAAATTTTTGAAGTCATATTCCATATAAAATTTCCTAATAAAATGATGAAAATTATATTGAGAAATTTGTATAACAAAAATAATAAATGTCAGTGAAATAGTTGAATTTTTAAAAAATGCGAGTTAGACGTCTTTTTTTAAAACTCGCGTTTAACGTATTTTTAACTATTTTTTATATATGTTTGAACACTATTCGATATGCCTATAATGTAGTTCTCGAAATAAGTTTTGAGATGACATAAGCAATTTATAGATTTAATTAGCGTACGATCGTCGGATAATTTTTAAAATTAGCATGTTATTGAAATTCAAATTTATTGTGATTTTGCCCCTATTTGGTGGAGATTAAAATCAATTTTTTAGTAAATTTTGATAAAAGTAACGGTTATGGATTCTAGGAAATATGCTATTAAAATTACATACAATATACTAGGATTAGGTGAAAAAAGATGGTCAAATAGTATCTTGACCAAAATACCGTTACCCAAATGACGAGTGGACGGCACACGACTATTTAACGGAGCAATTGGACGGAATGAGATGGCATGGGTGATATTCTCTAAGAATGATCTCCCAAATGCCAAAACTTGTAAGGATAGTACAATTTGCACAATGGGAGGCAAATGATGGAGAAGTTTTGTGCCAATTATCCATGATAATTTTTTTTGGCCGGATTAAGGTTTATTCACCCTTTGTTTGTTGGGCATTATTCAACTCATTAATAGAATAATTGTGACCGTTACTAATCAAAGTGGGACCTACCTGTGAGAGCTTTGTCATAAAAAAGGCCTGCTAGAAGGTACAATAACGGTCCAATTTTTTCTAGTTTTGGTGGAATAATGCACAACAAACAGGGGCTCAATTGTGATTCATAGACATCTTTATATAAAAGATAAGTTTAAGTTATTAAAAGGCTACATTTATTTCATCAAGCGTCTGTTTAGGCTCCATTAAAAGCGAAAAAATGCATTTTGGGCTTGTCTGCTGCTGATTAAAATGTCCAAAAGAATGGCTTTTCTGACCGTTGAAGAAGGCAACGGTCAAAAAATCAGCATTTCTGACAGATTGTTGTGTCTAACGGTCAGAAATTAACGGCTCAAAAGGCAATTCTTTGGAAGGAAAATCAGCAGCAGACAAGTTCTTTCATTCCTAGCAACTGTGAGTTCGCGCTAATGGAATTTGTTGGAAAATGGTGAGCTACACAAGGTTATGTTGACTTATGGAGGATGACATGCATGGCAGTTCAAAAATGAGTGAATTCCAATTTCACCCTTGCAGTACACTATGCTCACCAGTTGGCTTGTGTTCATTTCTTCTGGAATTTTGAAAAAAAAAAAAAAATCAAGGGTAAATTTGACCAACTGTGTTTAAATGGCATCAGTAATATTTTCCATCTCTTGACAAATGAGATGTGCAAGATGAATTTTTTAACATTAAAATTACTATTGTAAACTCAAGTGCCAAACACGCGAGTAAAATTTTATTCTATTCAACACATTTTTTTCAAAGGTCTAATATATACGTATACAATTTTTATAAATAGGTGGCGACAGTTCTTAATTCTAAAATTTTATACGCATTGATATCATGTATATTATCAAAAGAAAAAGAAAAACTTGAGGTGAGATACTTCAATTTAAAAACTCAAAGACTCAATATTGTTTGAATGAAGTTTATCGATCCAAATGAAGTTTCAATAAAAAAAAATCAACTTCGACCTTCTTCAAATTTTACTCATATCGAATATATTAAGTTTGAAGTTTCATATTAAAAAGTTAATTTTATTAAAAGGAGTAACGCAAACTCTTATAAGTTGATCTATATTTTAATATTTAATCGATATGAGATTTATTCCTTAATAAATATCCCTACAAGATGATGACTCGTTTGAATAGGTCAATCTTTAAATTCATACGCTCTTTTTTTATTATTAATCGGATCGAATTACTTATTGAAGTTTAATAGATTCAGACACCATACTAAGATTTAAGATTCCATTTAAAAAATCAACATTATTAAGGAGAATATCTCACACACTTGTGTATTAGTCTATGAGTGTGTTTAGTAGTGATTTTTGGGGGAAGAATTGTTATTGAATAGTGATATGATGGGAAATGTGTGGTTGATAAAGAAGAAAATAGTATTGATGTGATCCCTTGCAGTACACTATGCTCACCAATTGGCTTGTGTTCATTTCTTCTGGAATTTTGAAAAAAAATTTAAAAAAATCAAGGGTAAATTTGACCAACTGTGTTTAAATGGCATCAGTAATATTTTCCATCTCTTGACAAATGAGATGTGCAAGTTGAATTTTTTAACATTAATATTACTATTGTAAACTCAAGTGCTATTAATGAGGCCTAAATGGAGAATATTCGTCTACACTAATACTATGTTGATAGGTACTCTTATCTTACACGCCCTTCAAGTGTAGATCAAATATAGATGGGACATAATTCACTATTATTCTATTCAACACATTTTTTCAAAGGCCTAATATATAAGTATATAATTTTTATAAATAGGTGGCGACAGTTCTTAATTCTAAAATTTTATACGCATTGATATCATGTATATTATCAAAAGAAAAAGAAAAACTTAAGGTGAGATACTTCAATTTAAAAACTCAAAGACTCAATATTGTTTGAATGAAGTTTATCGATCCAAATGAAGTTTCAATAAAAAAATCAACTTCGACCTTCTTCAAATTTTACTCATATCGAATATATTAAGATTTGAAGTTTCATATTAAAAAAATAATTTTATTAAAAGGAGTAATGCAAACTCTTATAAATTGATCTATATTTTAATATTTAATCGATATGAGATTTATTCCTTAATAAATATCCCTACAAGATGATGACTCGTTTGAGTAGGTCAATCTTTAAATTCGTATGCTCTTTTTTATTATTAATCGGATCGAATTACTTGTTGAAATTTAATAGATTCAGACACCATACTAAGATTTAAGATTCCATTTAAAAAATCAACATTATTAAGGGGAATATCCCAAACACTTGTGTATTAGTCTATATTCCAGTATTTAATCAATATGAAATTTATTCCTCAAAATAATATAGTGTTGGTCTTTTCTAATTCATAATTGATCATTGCAAAATGAAGACATGTGAACTTAAAGATGTAGCCCGTGGTTAGGTTTATTTCACCTGTATTCATTAATGATCTTAAAGATTTTATTACTTAAATTCTTAGAATATGACCTAAATTCCCACATGATGTAGCCATGAAGAGGCATAGCAAAACGTTGTATAATGTCGAAAGAACATCAAAGTGAGGATCTAAATTATAGAGAGAGAGACTCACATAATTTTGAGAATATGTTGAGAGTCATGCAAGATCTTTCAGATACTCCTTGCTATTAATTCTAGTGAATTTTTTTACGCCTGCCAGTGATTTTTTTGCTGAATTTGGATTCCCATGTTAAATCTTGTGCGATCATTTTCATCTTGTCATATTTTCTTGACTTTAATATTCATAACAAGTAGTAGAAGTTTTATCACCGGATTATTGCAAATTTACTTGTTTTACAACATATATCTTTATCATAATTTAGAGTTCAACATGTAAACTCCACAAGGAGAAAGAGGAGTTTGTGAGTCTAGCTTGTACCGTTGTACGCGGATCTTGACATTATGGTCTGTTTGATTTCCATTTTTTTTAAAATACATTTTTCTATCTTCTTTTCAACTACACATTATTCATTAAAATAATATTATACATAAACCAAAAACTTTTCCTTCTTTTTTAACTATACATTCTCCACCAATCTACTATTCTAAAATACATTTTTAAAAAAGAATGGGCCTCAGACACTCCCCTATAAATTCCTCACCAAGAAAACACTAGGGACATGCCTCTACCATCATATACGACTTTGCCGTCTAGCTTTGCAGAGAAGCAACTAAACTAACTTATTTTCCATTAATTTTAGTTTATTTTTTTTATTTCCTTTTCTGAACAAATGGTTACAGCTCAATAATATTTATCCAAATTAAGTTTTTTGTTTAAAGCAGAAAGTACAAACAAAATTCAATATGTTGGCTGGGAAAATTGGCCACAGCAGACAAGAAAAATTCAAACTTTGAATCTTATTATGAGTTAACTTTGTTATATTTTTTGGCATTATAATAAAAGTAATTTGAATTTTTAAACATAAAATAGCATTAATGTCGTGAATAATAAAAATTAAAGAACGCAAATAAGTTTTACTTAATTAATTGCAAATGAACTAAAC